GGAGAAACTTGATTTGCTAACATGATAAATGCATCAGATTCATGAATGTTGGCTACTTTTTTAGGATTTACCCTCTCAAAAGGCCATAGAAATTTATTAGTAGACATTACTTCAATTAAAGTGTAGGCGTCATGAAATAGTTTTGACATCAATGAACCACCACCAGCGGCATTGATAATTGATCTAAGAGATCCAACTAATCCATTATAAAAAGTTTGAATTATTAACCAATCTAGTATAACATGGTGTGAACACTTTCTTAAAAATTTGTTAAATCTTTCCCATGCTTCATAAATAGATTCCCCTTCAAACTGATTAAAAGACGTAATATCATTTCTAAACTTTACAGTTTTTTATGGTGGAAAATATTTAGCAAGGTATTTTTGTGCTAAATCACCCCAAGTTCTGATAGATCCAGGTGCTAATGAATTCAACCACATCTTAACTTTATCCCTCAGTGAAAAAGGAAATAACATAAGTCTTATGACATCATCTGGTACACCATCGTATTTAAATGTAACACAAAATTCTAGAAAATTGGCAAGATGTAAATTTGGATCTTCAGTTGGTGATCCCCCAAACTGATTATTTGATACTATTTGGATAATAATAAGTTTAAGCTCAAATGAATTAGCCACTATAGTAGGTTTTTGAATACTACAATGAAGTTCATCTACAATAGGGTTGGCATAATCTCTTAAAGGTCTAAAATCTTGATGAATTTCAGCATTTTGATTATTTTGGTCGGCCATTTCAATAATTTTTTTTTTATTTTTCAAAATTTATAATTTTTTTTTGGTTTTTCTGATTTTTCTAATAGTTCTTTCTAATTCAGAATTGTAGGGCACTAGTCCTTCAGAACCTGAACTACTCATACACTAACATATAATAAAATAAATAAAACAAATTAAAATAAGATAAGATAACTTAAAGTTTAAATAAGACTTTCTAAAAATAGAAATTTTGCTTTCTATTCCCCATCAATGGTGCAAAAAACTTGATCCATTGATATTGCTAATATGGAAAGTACAACAATTATTCAGATTATATTTCACTTATATTTCCTTACTTTGCGACAAAACAAAAAACTTGATCTTGAAGAAAAATAAGAATTTAACTTTTAATCTATTATCATTATCAAGTAATATATGACTTTTTGATTAGGACCTGAATATCGAATCTACAGGGAATTTATACAATATGCACTTTTAGAAAACTTTCTATTTTAAAAAAGACAATTACTTAAACTGAATATATTTTGCAGTAGTTCAAATTCAAATATTTTTGGTATTTTTAATATTTTACAAAATAGTAACAACATAAAAAAGATAACTAGATTTTGTAGATGAAAATCACTTAATAAGAAAAATATCTTTCTTCTTATCATTAATCAGTAATAAGTATAGGAATTCTGTTGTGGAAATATGAAAATTGTGTTGTGTCAAATATGAGCAATAATATACTTTACCCTTACTAGAGTTGCTATAAAGAGCATTAACTAATTCAAAGTTTGAATAGTTCCGAAGACCGGCTAGGCAGGGAAGATACTAGCTCTCACTCTAGAGTTCTCTCAATTCCCTCCACCTGGGGGCTAACATCTCGTATCAAAACCTAAAAAAATAAACCAAGTTGGGGGCTTTAACCTGTCAATTTAAAGTCCTCTAACTTTACACCCTTCAATGAATATTTACCTATTTATTTACACTCAATCATATGAATTACATTCTCATTCATACAATCTCATGTGATTCTTTCCAATTGTTGACTGAGATAATACCAACCCGATTCTTACATGTTCTCACAATAAATTTTAACATCTGGATTGATCAAATCAAGAAGTAAATGAAGTGCATGGATTTTAATCATCACAACTTCTTCCAACATTAAAGATCAATACTCTCCACAATTTCCATCCAAAACTTAATTACTTATCATTTTAAGAAGAAAGACAAAGAAAATTACTAAGAATCCATGAAGAAAATAAAACCACACTTTACTTTAAAAGTAGAAATCATTGTCAAACCAACAACAAGTCTCAATTAAAACCAAAAGTAGTCTCAAAGAAAAAAGATAAAAACTTATCTCAACCGTTTTTGTAACTCAATTGCTGAAGCTGGTCTCTTTGATCTAGGGTACTCTGGATCTCCCTATAGTTGGAGAAGAGGATTTCTTTTACAAAGACTTGATCTTTTTTTGTCTAACTCAGATTTTCTAAATCATTTTCCAATCACTTGGGTTCAACATCTAAACTATGCTTCTTCCGATCATAACCCTCTTCTCCTTAGCTTTTGATGACAAGCCTACTATTTCTAGATTTAAATTTCTCAATGTTTGGACATCTCATGAAACTTTTTTGAGTAATGTGCAATAGGTTTGGAAGGTGGATGGTGCTAGGACACCTTGGTTTACTCTTTGGCAATTGCAAAAGAAGCTAGTTGCCCGCCTCTGAAATTAGAAACATAAGGTTTTTAGTAATGTGCACAATAAAGGTTTTGAAGATCAGCATTAGATGGATCAGCTAGAAGCTCAAGATAATTACACTCCTGATATGGTGGAATCGGTTGCCCAAGCGCATCTCTCCATATTGGATGCAATCAATATGGAAGAAAGTTTTCTTCAAAAAAAACCCAATGATATCTCTTTCACTGTTGAAGATAAAAACACTAAGTATTTTCATGGCACTTTAAAGCATAGAAGAAACATCAACAGCATTCTGAAAATTAAAAATGCTAATGGTCACATATTAACCAATATGGAGGATATTGGTGATAATGATGTGCTCTACTTTACTGAATTTTATCAATCTACTATGTAGGTCACACCTGTTGATTCTAATGTCTTTGATGCTGAATTTAGTTACATCAACAACCTTGCTTTTGCCCAAGTTTTAGATGAAATTGAAATACTATCTACTTTCAAATATATAAGCTCTAACGAATATCCAAGCCCAGATGGTTTGACCTCCTCTTTCTATGTGCATTGTTGGGGCATCTTTAAAACAAAGGTCATTCATGCTATTTAAAGTTTCTTTCGTGGGGATAGCCCATGTAAGTTTTTTCGTTCTTCTTTGATAATGCTTATCTCTAAAGGTAATGATAAAAATACTTGGGATAACTTTCATCCTATCTCTCTTACCACGGTAATCTCTAAAGTTTTGAGTAAGATTAGGCTACAGCCTCACCTCTCCCAAACTATTTCTTGCTCGCAATCTGCCTTCATTAAAGGACGAGACATTACTGATAACAATCTCTTAGCTCAGGAAATGATTAAAGATCTGGACAAGAAATGCAGGGGGAAACATGGTTTTAAACTCGATATCAAAAAGGCTTTTGATACTATTAGCTGGGACTTCATTCTTAATACTTTGTAGGCTAAAGGATTTCGCAGAATTTTTGCCTTCTTATTAAAAGATGGTTATCTAATAATCATTATAGTGTGCTTGTGAATGACAGAGCACATGGTTTTTTTCTTCTTACAGGGGTATTAAACAAGGAGATCCACTCTCTCCTACCATCTTTATTATTGCTTTCAATTATCTATCCAGACTTGTTAACAATCTGCACCTTCAACGTCCTCATATCCAATACTCCCATAAATCTAAAATTATTGTTAGTCACCTTGCTTATGCTGATGATGTCATTTTGCTCTCTAATGCCAGTAAAACTGCTATTAAAGCTATTATGGCTCTTTTGATGGACTTTCAAGAAACATCAAGATTAAATTTTAACATGGCTAAATGCTCCATATATTTTGGGAAATATGTACATCAAAATATTCAAAGCTGGGCTTCCACCTTCACTGGCTATATAATAGCTAATCTTCCCCTTACGTATCTTACGATTAATGTCATTAGAGGGAGAAAGAAGCATATTCAAATGGATGATATTGTCAACAAAATTAAATTCAAAATTATTGATTGGAAAAATATCTTCTTGTCTAATGGTGGTAGACTTACTCTGTTTAAAAGTGTGCTTTGTAGTTTACCCCTTTATTCGATGCAGGTTCTTAAAACAAAGAAAAGCACCCAGAAAACCCCTGAAGTGCTTTTCAATAATTTTTTTTGGAGCGGTACTCGCTCTTCTAAAGTTTGGACCAATTGGAAGAGTAGTTGCAGAGCGACTGCCTCTAGTGGACTTGGTTTTAAATCTCTACATATAATTATTGATATCAATATGTGTAAGCTCTGGTTCAAATTTAGAGCTGGAGATTCCTTATGAGCTCAGTTTATACATCACAAGTATTGCACGTATAAGCATCCCTCCACTGTTAATTGGAAGACGATTTGGAAGGCTATTACTCTTGCTAGAAATTTGGCTTTTCAATTCATCTTTTGGGATGTTGGGGATGGGAACATTTTGTTTTGGCATTGGGGAAATTCTAATTTTACAAACTTACCACATTCATTTTCTAACCCTAATTTGCTTGTTTCTGATTGTTGGTTGAACGGGAACTAGAATATGCCTAAATTATTTTCTTTAGTTGGGGAGATGGCCCCCTCTACTGTTAATATTCCTATCAATATGCAGGCTAGAGATATACCCATTAGGAAATTTCATTCTAGAGCATCCATCTCTAAAATGCTTTATACTCACCTGCATAGCTTTCCTCATTGGAAATGGAGCTCTTATATTTTGCATAAATATATTTCTCCTTCTGTTTCTTTCTTTCTTTGGAGACTCTTTCATAATATTTTTCCTATTGATGATATACTTAAAATGAAATGTTTGAGGCTTGCTTCCTTTTGTTATGTCTATAGAAAGGAGGCTGAAACTTCCACACATCTTTTTTTTGCTTGCCCCTTTCCTAGAGAGGTCTGGGATAAATTGGGCTGCTACTTTGGTATTCACTGGCCCATCTTAGATAAGACTCTTTCTATTTGGAAAGGTACTGATCATTCCCATAAACAACTTTTCTATTTTCCCTTAATTGTGTTGTGGTTTATCTGGGTGGCTAGAAATAGCCACACATATGATTCTTATCACTATACTTCTAATACTACTATGGCTCTTATTGTGGCCACATTTTCTAAGGCTTCGAGAGCTGCTAACTTTGCTTCCACTTCTTCTCAACATGGGATTGGTAGGAGACCAACTTTAATTAGTTGGAGAACACCCTCCCATGGTTGGATTAAAGTGAATATTGACTATAGTTTCAAATCTGATGTTGTTGGTATAGGTGGCCTGTTTCGTGATACTAATAGGAAATGCCTAGTTTTTCTTGCATCACCATGTAATGCCTATACCCCCTTGGAATCAGAAACATATGCTGTGTTGGCAGCTATGCAAGTTGCTATATATTTTCATTTATCTAATGTCGTTATTGAGATTGATTCTAAAAGTTTGTTTAACATTTTAACGGGGAACTTGATGCCCAATTGGTATCTCATCACTTTGCTGAAACCGATTAAGACTATTGTAGAGATCAATCATCTTAATATTCAATACAAATTCATACATAGGGAAGGCTATTGCTCTGCAGATTGGTTGGCTAAAAGGGGGCAAACTGGTATTGTTATTGGATTTAATCCTCCTCTTGCTCTATACATACTTATGCACGGTGACTTAATTGAGGCACCTTTTATTCGGGCATAGTTGCTTCTTTTTCATTTTATGATATTGGTATATTATATTTTTACGGATTGTATCATTGGTTTTGAGGTTTTTGAGGCTTTTGGGTTTAATTTGATGCTCACGGTGATGTTCCTGCATGGCTTTTTGAAGCAGAAAATTCTGCTTTATTATATCTATTGGATTGGTTTTTATATTGCTTTATGTATGCTCTACGGGAAATTTTGGAAATATTGAATTGAGCCTTTATGGTTTGATTACTGTCGTAGAAATGTTTTTTATAGTATCAGGGGCTGGGTGTTTATATACACCTATGTTTTCCGTTCATTTTTCTCTTTTTTATTTTAAAAGGAGTCGCCAGCTTGTCGATCGTCGTATACTTCCCCCATTTAAATAAATCTCCCTCCCGAATCATATAAATGATTCGAAGAGGAGAGGAATCGAATAAGAAGGGACATACGACAAAAAGACAAACAAGAGAAAAAGTAAAATGTGGAGAGTCTACGTGCGATAAACCTCGCAAAGATAGGTTACGAATGTCCGCCCAAACAAGCTCGGGCGGAGGCACCTTAAACTAATATCCGCGAAAGAAGTATCTACATAGACTACTCATAACCTGAGAGTCAGGTGTATGTACCTGTTATGGGGTCAAGAGCACTCCCAGAGGAACGTGTTCCTACTGGTTAATTACATCTTGGGGGATACCCAAGAATACTCTTGATAAAAGGAGTTTCCCTTTATCATTATGAACATGGGGTATAGGTTATCAAAAAGTAAATCTCCCACGCCAAATGGGTAGCGGCTTCTCAACTCACGAAACCTACGAAATAACCATAAATCACTTCAACAGGGGTATCCCAATACGTCATAGCACATCCAGACCGTAAGAGCAGAGGACAAATCGTCGTATCCCGAACAGGCGGCAGCTTATCGGTATCGGGCCATCAAAGTGACACCAACGAAGTCAAAGGAGCAGAAATGGCTCAACAGGGGTAGTCAAAAGGCAAGGAAAAGTAATCCTAGGAGGTAGAGGTAGTCAGGTCAGGGTACCACATAGCACATCCAAACCACTAGGACCCTAAGTCTACCTGGTCATGATGGTAGTCGACCCAACACAACCTGACATCCCTAGTCAGCAATCCGTGAATTGCATCATCCACGAGAACCTCGGTAGCCCTAAGGTCAAAGGAAAGAAAATCTATCCTATGACTATAAACTGGAGCTCCAAGAGGTGGGACTTATACCTGCCGAAATGACAAGGATGCCTCCGGAAAGAAAAGAAAGCGGAGGTTCAGCTACAAAGCTGTAAACACTCCAACAAAAGGACTTACACCCCGTCTGGGTCGGGGATCCTTCTAACACCCTAGGCGCACTAGACAACCACCTAAATGAAGGTACGCTGGGCCAGTCAGGTTGAAGAAGCACGGGAGCTCCTCCTCGGGAAATACAAATATGAATGCAGTTATCTACAGCGGTCCTTAAGTATTGTGGAGGACTTATTAGTATATGCAGGAAAAGTAAAATTGCAATTTTTAAATCCTGCATTATTTAATCATAAATTTTAATTATTTTGAATATTTTATTTAGGATTTTTAAGTAGAAAAATTAGGAATTTAAGTCCTAATAAGCCTATGTTTCAGCATGAAATATCAGATAAACCATAGAAAGAAATAAGGAAAACACATGCAAAAGTGCAGACATGCAATATGATGCAAAAAACAAAACAAGCCAAATAAAATAATAAACAGACCGGTGCCGCTGGGTCGGCAACATATCCCAGAAAAGAAAA